AGCTGTTCGACCAAGTCCGGCCGGCGGACAAAGTCGTCATTTTGGGGATGAGGGATAGCACAAGGCTGAGGCTGTACTGTCGATGAGCTGATTGTGGTTGAGCTGGGAAGGTTGTGGAAAATACGTAGGGGCAGCGGCACTTCGGGAGGCAGCGGGGGGAGAATCACTATCACTCCGGGCTCGTTGCTGTGGCCAGCGCTGGAAGTAGAGGAGTGTGCTTTGTGACTGCCTGAAGCAGCACCTGAAGCAGCGCCTGGGGCTAGGCCTGGCGCCTCGGCCCGGGACTGCCCCACCACCGCCATCGGGGCTGGTTAGGCAGAGACAGTTGGTACTGTGCAGCACCCTGGAGCCGATCAATCTAGCGATCTCGGTAGCAGGTGTAGCGCAACAGTGCCTCAAGTAGTAGGAGGTAGGAGTCGGTAAGGAGCGTAGTACCGGCCGATGGGCCTGGGTAAGGTGAGTGGCACCCTGCGGACTCGGTGATTGTCGACGTCGGGTATCTTTAGTCAAGGTGAGAGGAAAGGAGTGGCAGAGTTAGTTGGCGATTGCAGCTTTCCCGTCCCAAGAGGAGAGAGGTGCTCCCATGACTGTCGCTGCGCACACGTTGCAAAGAGCCCTCCAGGCAGGCCCATTTCCCAACATCACATGGTATGACTGTCCGAGGGATGGGAGCGAGAGAAGCAAATTGGCGCCCAACCACTGTTTATGCGCGCGAGGGCCGCTCAACAGGCGCCGCCATTGCTCAGATTGAGGTTTCAGCCTGGGGTTGTGTTGTATTGGACCAGCAGACGCTAATACAGCTGGCATGACATAGCATCTGTGACGTGTCCAGCCAATGCCTCCACGAAACCCACGGAAAAAAGCAACGCGCTCCCATTGTCTGGGATTGCAATGGGTTTGAAAAGCAATCATATGGAGAAAACAGGCCATAAAAATCTCCGTCCAGAGTGATCTACACCCTAGTACCGCAGCTCCCGTCGCTCTAAAGCTGTCAAACGGGAACCAGAGAGCAGGCAGGGCTTAGTTGGCTCCATTCCATGTCTTACATATTCGCACCTAAATCTAAATGTTGGGATGATTAAGTTTGATTGTTCCCTCCAATGATCCGCTCGGGGAATGTGCATAAGTATTCAATCGCATTAACTTCAGGGACAGGGTCATTCGATGAGGCACTTTCAAATGCTCATCACCAATGCATGGCACTGATGCGACGGCGGCTTTGTCACAGCGAGGAGGTTTCGGGCATCGCCATTCCGCGGGGGTTCCAGAACATCTCCCAACCGCCCCGGCTTTCACACCTGTTCCAAAGTATTCCGGCAGGCACCAGACAGGAGACGGCCAGGAAGGAGACAACACATCGTGTGTGTGTGGATCCTTTCAACGGCCATCGCATTGATCAATCGGCTTTGCGGATGCACCTCATCTGCTTGCCAGTTCAGCAGACTGTCCCATTATTCCCAAAACCCTGAATGGCCCACGGACACGAACACTTCCAAGGCGGCCTCGCTTATGCATTTTCCGTACCTGGTCCTGGCATGCAATAGCGGCGCTTGGCTTACGCTTCAGCCAGAAGGCCCTAGATGTAATGCTGGCCGCCTGCTTCTTCTTAGGACTTTTCGCTCCCCTTGGTTACAGTCCAAAACCCATCCGTAACCCCTCCCGGGGCCACGCAGCCGCGGGCTGCTTCCAATGCCAGGCTAGAAAAGCGGTGTATCCATGAGGTCCCGCGACATATAATGGACAGGAAGCGGCTACCTCAGCTGCACAGAGTCAGGCTTCGCTGGCTCATCTGCACCATGTGAGTTGTAAAGTGCCTGCATATCGACAGACCCACGAGATGGCAGTCTTCTGCAGACATGATGAATGCATCGAACTTGCACAAACTCAACGGCTTCACGAACTGGCGCAGGCCAGGCGCCGTTGCCCGGGAGATCATATTGACTCCCTCTGCTGGGCATTCTGAAGACATCATATCTGCGGAAGCGAAGAGCTTTCGACCTCTGGCTATCCATCAGGTAAGAATCTACCTCGGTCATGTGCTTGCTACGCGCCGTATCCCCTGGCCTAGAGGATCTCAAAGCAGAGGACCACGAGAGCGATCGCGGGTGTGCTTTCGTCTGTGTTAATTTGTGGCCCAAAGGGCATGCCCCCAAACTCAAACCCTCGAGTTCCTCGGGTATGCCTGGATACGTGTCATGCTTCCATAGCAAGGTGGGTGAGGAGACAGAGCGGCCAGGTTGGTGATTGGATTGGATCACAAACCCCAGCACCCACCCTGATCATCGTTGGGATGCTGCATGGTTGTGCTGCCTTGGCCTCGGGGAGACTCCCCCATACCTGCTGCGAAGACGTTGGGCAGGGACCTCGTAGAATGCACGGTGTAGAGAGCGGAGTACGTTCCAAGGCGGTTGGCCTCCGTCTTAGACTGAGTTGGACGTCTTGAGGAGACGGAGGCAGGCAACCGTTTTACCCGCCGTGATCGGCCAGGTACCCGGATGGTCCAGGCAGGCTCCACCGTGCCGTGACCGCCTGAAGCGACAGGGGCCTCAGCGATTAGTCCGAGGCTTAGTGAACCGTTGCGCCCCGTGATTCGCTACCAAATGATGTCACCTGGGCAGCCGTCAGCCTTCCGATGGAAGCTAGTGGGAGAGCTCAAGGGAGGCAGCTCTAGCCATCCGCCACCATCATCCAAACTCCCCCCTTCCATCAACCATATGGGAATCAGTTTGGCGGCATCATGGCCATCTACAACTGTTTGATCGGCGCGTCCATTGTTGCTGTTGCACGCGCCGCACAGCCGGGTGCTGTTGCGCCTGTCAAGGCTCCGATGCGGAACCTGACTTGGGGCCAGCTCAACTTCATCCACACGACGGATACACACGGATGGCTTGGGGGTCACTTCCAGGAGTGAGTAGCGATGTGAAATATGAAGGCCCTACTGCGTGCTAATCTAGAATCGCCAGGCCTCAGTACTCCGGCGACTGGGGAGACTTCATCTCTTTCTCCCACCACATGAGTGCGCACGCCGACCAGAAGGGTGCCGACCTCCTCTTCGTCGACACTGGCGACCGCATCGAGGGTAACGGACTCTACGACGCTTCCAATCCCAAGGGCCTTTTCCAATACGACATCTATGCCGAGCACGATGTCGACATCATGTCCGTAGGCAACCACGAGCTATACCAGGTCTACTCGGCCGACTTGGAACACAACACAACCACCCGCAACTACCCCAACAACTACATTGCTTCCAACCTTGATTATATTGACCTGAAAACTGGCGACCAAACACCCATGGCCCCGCGCTATCGAAAGTTCACAACCAAGAATCAAGGGATTGAGGTCCTTGCAATGGGCTTCATCTTCGATTTCACCGGGAACAACAAGAACACCGCTGTGCAACCCGTCAGGCAGACTATCAAAGAGGAGTGGTTTCAAAAAGCTATCAGAGAGAGGCCAGATATTTTCGTGATTGTCGGGCACGTCGGCTTACGCATGGAGGAATTTGGAATCATCTTCACAGAGCTTCGCAAGGCAGACTGGGATACACCTGTCGTATTCTTCGGTGGCCACGCCCATGTTCGTGATGCCCGAAAGTACGACTCTCTTTCAATCGGAATGGCCAGTGGACGGTACATGGAAACCATTGGTTGGATGTCGGTCGATGGGCTGAACAAGAAAAACAAGGGTGAAGTTTCAACGCAGAAGTCCGTCTCTTTCCACCGCAAATATATCGACAACAATCTGTACGGCATGTACCACCATACAGGTCTAGATGAATCAACATTCCCCACAGCCCACGGCCAGAACGTCAGCAGCATGATTGACCGTGCCCGCCAAGCATTGAAGCTCGATCACAAGTACGGCTGTGCTCCAAAGAATTATTGGATGAGTCGAGCCAAGCACGGGTCGGAGGATAACCTCTATACCTTCATCGAAAACGAGGTCTTTCCTGGGGTTGTTGTCAATGAAAAGCGCAAGGATAAACCCCGGCTCACCATCATGAACACTGGAGGCATCCGCTTTGACATCTTCAAGGGCCCCTTCACCCGGGACACTACCTACATCGTAAGTCCTTTTGTCAGCGGCTTCAGATATGTCCCAGATGTCCCATACAAAGTTGCGAGCAATGTGATCAAGCTCTTAAACTCTGGAGGTCGGATTCTCGACATGCTCCCTGAAAATAGGTTCATGGCCAGCCCTGAGCAGATGTTCCTCTCACCCCTCGTCTCCTTCACCGAAGATGTCCAGGATGTCAATCTTGAATTACGAGGCGAACAAAAATCCCTCAATAGGCTGACTGACGAGACACCTCTTATTACTGGACACACCACCAGTGATGACATTGGTGACGACGGAGATGATACTGTCCATGAGAAGCTCCCCTTCCACCCCCAACCAAATGCCTTCCAAGCAAAGATTGCCTTCCCTCCAGACAACAAAGACCCCGAGACAGTCGATCTTGTTTTCATAGATTTTGTCCAGCCCTGGATCATCCCCGCGCTAAAGCTTAGTGGCGGGGCCTATGATAATAAGGATGTTGAGATCTACATGGAGGGAACATTCACCTCCAAGCTGTCACAGTGGATTTCTGACAACTGGAAGGGAGAATGCTAAGTCTGTTTCATGTTCATGACTACAAATTAGAGGGATCCGTGATTTAATGTGTTAGGTTGTGTGTTAGGTTTTGTTTTTGGCTTGCTCTTTCTCCCCCCTTGCTTTTTTTTTTTTTGGTATAAACTCACAAGGAACACTCGGGGTTATTCTCTCCAATATACCCAGGTGGGTAGGTATTGGTTCTATCACAGACATAGTCTAGGATACATCTTGTTGCATTCGATTCTCATATCCAGAAATCTAGGTACAGAATCCCAAACAAATACACGTCAAATTCTCAACCATGACAATTATCTGATGTACCCAGTCCTTGAAAGCTTCCGCTCCCCTGGATTTAAGCTAAATACTTGATCCGCTTCCACTTGTGCTAGCCCGGGTAGCATCTATGGGAACTCATAGTACCTAGGAACACAGTACGGGCTTTTGTTAGGCGTATAAAACTTGCATACCGTGTTAGGGGGGCAATCTCCTCCAAACTACAAGGTATTTTCTCGTTAGCGGATCATCTTCTTTTTTAAGAGAGCCCGATGTTGGGTGGCTTTCAGAAAACATAGATGTCAACATACCTCCCACTTCCCACTTGCGTTGCAGACCTTCCAGCCAGGAGCACCGGATTTAGGGTTGAATGTGCATGCATAGGTTCCCGGGCTGCACTCTCCCTCGAGTTTAGGTTGATCCTGAGGCTTAGGCTGCTCCGGCTTAGGCTGCTCCGGCTTGGGAGGCTCCGGCTTATGATACTCCGGCTTGTGGTCGTGCTTCTCGGATGGGCAGGGCTTATGATCATGTTTGTGCTCGTGCTTATGATATGGGCAGGGTTTATGATCAGGCTTGTGCTCGTGCTCGTGCTTCTGATATGGGCATGGCTTATTCTCATGTTTGTGCTCGTGCTTATGGTACGGGCAGGGCTCCCGATCATGCTTGGGCTCGTGCTTGGGGTGGTGTTTCTCGTATGGGCACCTGGGCTTATGATCATGCTTGTGATCACCCTTGTGGTCGTATTTGTACGGCCGAGAATCATGCTTCAGATGGATGGGCGCCGGGTTGGGGTTTTGGGATTGGTCCGGATATATCTTGATCACCTTGAAGTTGTCGCCATCAGCAGAAGGCAGCACCTCGGGATGCTTTCCTTTGCCCTCGCCATAATCCCCGAGGCCAGGGTCTCTGTGCTCGGGATGATGGGGAGCACCGACAGGCGAGTAGATGAGGTCCTGCTTCCTCTCTTCCGGGATGAGATAGGCGGCGGCGAGCGTCGTGAAGGTCGCAATGGCAAGTGCGCTGAACTTCATCGTGGGCTGATGTTTTAGAAGCAGGAATATGCCTCCAAAAGATTGTGTGATCTATCTGCTCAAGCACGTTTCTGCAGTTGATATGAAATGCCCCCAGAATGCCCCCAGCATGAACTTTATACTCTGTCTCTGTTATTGTAGTCGCGACTAAGACGCGAGTCTAGGCTCGTGTAAGTCGACTATCTCCTCATTTCCCAAAATCTCGTATTCATGGCGTGAACTCACAACCAGACGGTTTACTCTCGACTGAACCTTCACATGGGGCACAGTGATTGGACACACTTGTTATTTTCGCAGTTGATGTTGTTCATCCCCATATGCCATCTCCGTAAAGCGATAGATAGCTGGTGATAGAGTTTAGTAGACTGAGCTCCACGGCGTCCACACGACCGCGTTGCGGGTGGTTTAGCTTTCTAAGGATTGGGGGAGACATTCTGTATACAACTCCGGACGTGCCTCAGTGCTACGGCCAGCAAGAATTCACTATGTTTGCAATAATGGACCATTCTCCTTGCCGCTATCGTCATAAAGAAACTAAAAAGAAGATCTGATCCAGCTGCTCGCTGGGCATTACTTGTACTATACAAAGATCACTGGCTGTTTATAAAACCACCCACCCAACCATTTACCCAATTCATTCATGTCAAGGCCCTTGTGAATGGATCCCATTACTCCCCCCACTGTCTATTGATTTGGCTTCTTCGGACCTGCATCCCAGATGTGTTAGCTCGAATTCAATTTCAAAGAAGCGGGAGAACTTACCATAGGGGCCAAGAAAATTACACCACCAAACAAAGCGAGAACAGTAAGAATCAGGGTGAATTTGTTAAATCCCTTTCCGAGAATATCAAACACGCCGCTTGGGGCCACTCTGGTTCCGAACACGTCCACACCGTAGGCAACAACAAGAGTGGTGCTCTCAACAATAGCGGGAGCAGCAACGATGTTGTTGATGCCAATGACATCACGCTCGTGGGAGACGATAGAGCGGGGATCGATCTCCAAGGAGGGCCAATACTTCATAAGACCTTCGGCTTCCTGTTCAGCGGCGTTGGGGTCACGGCCAACGGGACGGCGAGGGTCAAGTGCTTGACGTGGAATGCCCACTACAGCGTGGGATTCAGGCATGTAAGCCAGAACCTGACGGCCGGTAATTCCCTGGCGAGTTTGAGTGACAGAGAGGCTCGTCAAAGGCTGGATGGCAACAAACCCTTGAGAAACAACGAAGGGCAGAGGAGCCTGACTTGGTGAATCCACAGGGTTCAGGGACGAGAAGTTCGCAGAGTCACCGAGAGGGCCACGGTCATTGGGTGCAGAGGACTCATAGAGATCTGTAGAGGTGATCTGGTAGCCCTTGATAGTCTGACCTGAACCATCATTCAGCAAATACTGCCCAAAGAAGGAGCAAGTGTACCAATTCTCAGAAATGACACATGACACGCCCTTGCTTCCGTCAACGCCATCGTATGACTGCGAGGCTAAGATTTGTCCAGATACTGTGTCCACCAGTCGGATAGAGAGCACGGAATCGGCATCAGAAAGGACGGCAACAACAATGGTGTTTGTGTTGAGGTACTTATAGTTGACGTTTCGGTCTCCAAGAACGCGGCCGATTGACGCAACAGGGTCGTGAGAAGGGCGAACTGCGACCTCCACAATGCGCTGACCAGGAAGTAGCTGCAGCTGCCATACTTCGGTCTGTTGAGCAGTAGCTCCATCTTCGCCGGCCTCGAAACGCACACCCTTGATAACCTCTCCCTCTCCACGAACGACAATGGTCTCCTTTGGCACGACACCATTGGGGAATTCGCCAACTGGCTTGCCCGAGGGGTCGAGAGCAAGGAGCCAAACACCATTTTCACCCTGTATCGTGGCAGTGCTCTCGATGGTGGAGCCGCTGGCAACAACTCGAAGAACCTCTCCCGTGATGGCATTGATATCCGCGATTTCACCCTTTGACCCCTGCAGCGTGACGACGCTACTCTCGCCGCCGTTGGCAACAAGACCCTTCAATTCAAAAGACTGGCCCTGAAGCTGGGGAAAGACGTTTGCTGACCAAATCACTTTTCCAGCATTTGCAGTGCTGAGGCCATAGACCCGCCCACGTCGGGTTGCCAGTACAACGACCTTGTTGAACCCAAAGCTGTCGCGGTGCAACGACGTGTCCCTGTGAGCCTCGCCAGAGAGACTATCAATTAGGCGGGTAGGGATTGATTGAAGCCAAGCGGGGAGGTATTTGAGATCGTTGATATGACGTTTGACACGGTGAATGTAGGCGGAGAGGGGGTTGGTATGGGCTTCCTCCTCCAGGGCCTTGGCAAGGCTCTCAGTTTCGGGTAGCTCAGCCCAAACGGCACCGACAGAACCACTGAGTCCTTCAGGACGGCTCCAATCAGCGTTTCCGTTTCGGACCAAAGTCCAGTCATCTGAGACGGTGGTGACGGCAGATCGGATGGCAAACTCCTCGCCACCGGGCTTCTTGATGACTTCTGATACAGCATGTCGCGCCTTGATGTGCGACGAAGGTGCCAGGGGCCAACGCTGGAGAACAGCAGGAGACTCGGAAGAGACGATAAGAATCTCGTCCCCAGTGATACGGGTAAAGTAGACGTTAGCACCTTCCGAGCTCGTCGAGAAAGCATTCTCCCCCTTGAGATGTGGGAGTTCATAGGCTCTGGAAATTTGCCCATTCTTCAAGTTGGTGTGGTAAACTTCGCCTTTACCGCCAGTTGCAGTCTTTGTGTGAACAAGGAAGTGAGGCAGCGACTGGGTCAAATGAGGGGCGTGGATGACGACACCAGTCGTCTCCGCACCCAGGGCAATCTCTTGCTTTCCTTTGGTACCCAGAACATGAACGTTCAGCTTGGATAGAGAAGAGTCGGTCCAAGCTAAGAGCGGTGCTGCGGAGTTGGCGCCGACGAACATGACGTCCTGGGGTCCGTGAACTTCGCCCTTGGTGCCGACGGTCCAGTCGTTGACGCGCGAGCCTGTCAAAGTGTCGAGAGACGTGATTTTAAGGCTATAAGAGGAAGGAGACCCGTGAAGACTGATGACATAGATGTTTGCAATGTTGGTAGAAACCTGTAGGGGAATATCCTTGTTCTGCTGGCGGAATTCCCACACCACAGTGCCCAATTTGCCATGCAGGCGGCGTAACACAGTAACGCCATCCTCATCAAACAGAGCAAGAACATCTTTTCTTCCAGTCTCAGTAACCTCCAAAATTTCAAGGTCTTTGACATCACCCGCGAAGTTTGTATGCCAGGAATTTCTCCCCGTCAAGGCATTCCAGGCCTGCACAGTCGATCCGTGGGCAGCCGCCACCCAGTCCTCATCCTCTGGCGCCCGAAAGTGGCCTCCTCCAATTGTAGTATCCGTGGAGATCTGGTGTCTCCAGACAATTTCGCCGTTGCTTGGGTTCACAGCGCCGAATACGCCAACATCGCCAAGGGTGTAGAGCAAACTGGCCTTGTCGTCTTTTCGTGGTCGGTGGAAGAAGGTCGTCTCGGCCTGCGGGACACCGAAGAGGGAGTGGTGGAAGTCAATATCGTCGACCTCATCTTGGAAGACGGCTGTCGCAAAGGACGAGAGTCCTAGCAACAAGATTGAGCTGAATGCGCGCCGCATTTTGTGGATTGGTACCGCGCAGATGACAGCTTGACAAGAGCTAGCTATCAGAGCTGATGTGGGAGTTCTGGGATAGTTGGCGACATGCAGCGATTGGGCGCTTAGTCATCGGCGCAACAAGCTCAACCAGGGCAGGCATGACGTGGGACCCCGCGGCCACCACTCACTCCATCATGATTGAGTGCAGGAGACATAGATCGGATGTACGATTTGAGTTCAAGTCTAATTCCACGGTTCATGCTTGTCACAACATCATATACGTGTTCTACATAGGTACCATGACAATAATTTACATTGTCTCTCTACCGCAGAAATAGAAACCCCAGTCTAACGCCGAATACACATATCCAGAATGTACGAGCTTCCATAGCGACGCGAAACAAGAAGTGACCTACCCAGATTACTTCATTATCCAAAAAGGAACCTGACCATTTAATTTTCATCAGTGGGGCCGGCCGGTGCCCCGGTGTTGGCTTCGGCAGAAGCGGTCTCCTCCTGAGGTGCTTCAGCAGAAACATCTCTCGGTTCCTCTTTTACTTCTTTTACTTCAGACAAAGGTTCTTCTGTCGCCTCGACCTTAGTTTCACTTTCTGGTTCTTTCTTGAGCTCCTTTTCAGGAGTTGGCGACTTGAGAGCGGTGTCTTCAGATAACCCTACCGCGGGGGCGGGCTCTGGGACCACTTCTGCAGGGGCTGGGCCAGCAAGCTCAGCGCCAGCTGCTTCGGTCTTCGATGCTTCGCGGTCCAGCTCACCCATAAGACCATCAAGTAAGTCTGACTCCTCTTGAGCTGGCTGCGATATTTGGGAAGTCTCTTCTGCAGAGGCCTCCAGGGCCTCCAGGGCCTCTTCCGGTACGTCGGGCGCAGATTGAGGTTGCTCAGAAGGCTGATCTGGCAGCTGCTCTAAGCTCTCCTCGGGAGCTTGCGTGGCGGACTGTGCGGATAACTCCTCCTCCTCCAAGGGCTGATCAAGGATTTGTTCAGAGGGCTGCTCGGGCAGCTGCTCCAAGGCTTGTTCAGGGGACTGTTCAGATGGTTGCTCTAGGGGCTTCTCTGGGGACTGCGCTAAGAGATGTTCCACCTTCGATTCGGGCTCAGTTGTGCCTCCTACAGACCCTGTAGCGGCTTCTGACGGAGCCCCAGATTCGGTTCTCGGGACTCCCATTGAGACTGAATCTTCAGGCTTGATTGGATCATCAACCGACATCATATCAGAGTGATCATGCGTTGGCTTATCCAGCAAATCCTCCCCACCACGCCCTTCGTCATCATGCGCTTTGTCCGCAGATAGGGAGGAGTGATACGGGGCACTCTCATCCTTTGGAGATGCATTCGGCGACGAGATATTCCCCACCTGATCAGGGGGTGGTGGTA